CTCTCTCTCTCGCTCCGTCTCTCTGGACTGTCTCTTTGACTGTCTCTGTGTTTCTGACTCCCGCCGCCCGTACGTATGCGTGCTCCTGTCTCGGCTGGAGTGGTCAGTGGAGGAGAACACTCTGCAGCCGACTACTATTAGCAGGTGCACATCTGAAGCGTGGAGCCTCTCTCTCTCTCTCTCTCTCTCTCTCTCTCTCTCTCTCTCTCTCTCTCTCTCTCTCTCTCTCTCTGTGTGTGTGTGTGTGTGTGTGTGTGTGTTTGCTCTCCTGCGCGTGTTTTCCACACTCTATGTGGCGCGGTTGCGGGACGTCACGGAAAGAAAACAGATCCAGATCCGGGTCTTGGGCCCTGGAATAGAGGAACTGCACCAGCTGGTAATGCGATCGGACAAAGCAACGGACTTTCACAGGCTTCTCCCCTCTCTTGCTCGGCCACCGACCAAGCTAGCAACCAACCGGCCGACCGCTCGATGACCAGGCAATCAGCAGGGGCGACAGCAAGTGGCGACCGATTGCCTTTTCCCCGGCAACTTGAGAATCGGACGGCTCTCCTGCTGGCTCTCCCCAGCTGCCCGGACGGGCGTGTTTTCCCTCGCCTTCCCCGCGAAGCGAGTCCACTGCATGTGTGTTCTTCCCCTCGTTCCCGAACCCCGCTCCCTCCAAGTTTTGCCGCCACTGTCGCCTTCCTAGATAAATTAGCGAGATCAGAGGGCCCTCCTTTTACCCTCACCTCAACACTCGATTAGGACCCTTCGATTGTTGCTAACTAAGCAAGCAGTAGAACACCCAACTAGCACTGTTTCTTGTTTGCGAGAAGCGACCACACCTCTCCCCTACCCCAGACAGGAATAGTAGTCCTGAGAAACAAGCATTGCCACCTCACAAGTTGATAATCGACACGGCCGACCGCATGCACGGCAGAAAGGCGACGAAATTCCTAAACAAACAAACAAACAAGGAGGCACTCGCTATGGTTTGCAAGCTTGTGAAACCGTGATGATGGCGGTGGGGAGGAGCAGCCAAGGGAAGAGAAGAGAAGAAGACAATGCTTGCCGCTCTGTGCGTTTGTCCGAACGAAAGAGACCGCTTCCCCTCCCCGATCTGGAAAAGAGCTCGCGTTGCGGGTTGATGGGTGCGAGGTACCCTTTGTTGTTATGCTTTTCGTGCAAAGATCGGCGTTTTGCTTTCCTTTATGAGAATCCCGTGCATTCTGGAAGATCCCCGTCGCATTCGCGCGGGCGGCGAGTGGCGAGTGGCGAGCGGGAAAATGTTACCGTTGATTCTGCGCTCGTCCAACGCCCACGACGTTGCGATGACACAGCGCGTGCGCCAACCCGCCCCCGGCCCCGCCGCTCGCGGACAACACTCCAAAACCCTGTTCCTGTCTGCGGCATGCACTGTCGACACCGCCTGTCAGCCTCAGCGTCGGCGCCCGCTCCCGACCAAGCCTCGGCTCGCCTCCATTTTTAACGTCGTTTGTCGTCTTCTGCCCAGAGACCACGTCTCTGCTTGCCAGTCCACGAGGCGGCCGGCTTGGCTTCTCGCACCGCGAGCGGGGGGAAAGGGCGTGCGACTAGGGGAGGGAGCGGCAGGTAGTTGTTCTTCCTTTGCGCCAGAACGTCTACTGCACCAGACTTTTAACCTACTCCCCCGTAGCCATCGATTCCCTCTAATTTACCTACCCCGCAGTGAATGAACCTTTACTGGGTTTCCGGCCCAGTACTGTGGTTACAAACGGTCGTAGACAGAGTCACGGCCAAGGTGGCAGTGCACAGTACATTGCTTTGCTTACCGCCCAGTGTGGTTACAAACGGCCCTTAGAACAGTACCTTGCTGTGTTTTCGTCCGCACTGTGTTTACGAACGTCATTCCGGCAAGCGCAACACCCATCCTGGAGGCGGGGGACTGACTGGAGGGTGTCAGTCAGGGGGTCCAGTCGCCTACTACCTGTTCTATCAGAGAACGCGAGAGCTACGGAGGCGGGGCCTGTCGAACGGAGAACAGGTAGGTCGATGGCAGAGGGGGAAAAAAAAACGGAACACGGAATGTTAAATTAAGAACGCAGGGGACACCTGCCCTTCTGTCGGCCTGCCAGCCCACCTGCCGACCCGCCCCATGCCTTCCTACCCATGCCTATCCAGCCCGCCTAACGGGCTACCGATCTGACCCCTCTGACCTTACACCTCCTACCTGAATCGCTTGCGAAATGCAAACCTACAGTGCGAGGGAGGGAAAGGCAGGCGGGTGAACGATCATCCGGGACCCTGGCCTGGCACTGGACCATCAAATGTCCCAGTGCGGTAGCCGAATAAAAAAAAAAAATCGAAACAAACAATAAGGACGGTGACCGTCACACCCTTCGATCATACTGCCCCTCACACACTGCAATCACTACGCCCTTCCCAGGTAACGTAGGTAAACACCAGGCTGCTGCGAAAGCCCTTCACAACATACGGTCACTACGCCTTCCCAGGTAGAATAGGTAACTACCAGCAGCGAAAGCCCTTCACACCCTTGCGGCTTGCTTCGTGCCTTTTCCGTCTGCCGAAAATAGCAGAACACCGGTGTTGTTGTTTCCCCCCTCCAAAAAGTAGCTTGCAGATATAAACCACTGAGGCCACCCAGCGGCCTACCAGCGTAGGGCCTCGTTAGACACTCCTGAGGGCGCCCTTGGGCTCCGAGGAATCCTCGGGGACATTCTGAATCGCGGCCGCCGGAGGTGTGTGGCCGCGGGAGGTGTGTCCATGGTGTGGTTTGGGATGTCCGCTCAAGAGGCATGTTGGTCCACAGGCGACGGGCGGGACTGCAAAAAAAAAAAAAAAAGGTGGGAATGTCCCCATCCAAAATTCAAAATTTGAGTTACAGCGAGGGACGAAGGCTAGGCGGCAGACAGGCATCCCCAGCGCGACCGCTAGGCAGTGGATGTGTTGCTTTCATCGCCATCCCTTCAGGCCATCTCCTTCTCGCCCCATTGAGTGACAACAACAGCGCGCAGTGTGTGGTGGAAGGTGTGTCCGGCGAAGAGGTCCGTCGTCAGGTCAGCTCCTTGAGTGACAGCGCGTGGCAGCTTGGAGCGGGAGCTTCGGTGGGCAACGACCTCCATTGTGCCATCATCCGTTCCGGTCCCCCTGAGGGCACATCAAGTGCAGTCGACGTGGCGCGTGGACATGGATGCTGAGGACGCGCGTACACGGGGAAGGAAGCAGGCTTGCAGGTGACCACCTCTTTTCGAAGTCTGTGGCAATGGAGGGTGGTGGGGGAGATGGGTGTGCGGTGTGGACTTCCATTGAGAAGATGGCGGTGGTGGGCTGTTGGCCGTTTTTAGGTAGACAGAGAGTCCAGCAGCATTAAGACGAAGCTATAGAGGCGCAGACAAAGGATGCTGCCAGTGATACTGAGAGTGGTTGACGCCCCGGACTGTGTGGCAACTTCGGAGGCTGATGTTCAACTTTGCGCAGCACTGGGCTCCGGTGCGATCCCTCGAGCGACACCAAGATGGTGGATGAAACGGAGAACGGGCAGGACATGCGAATAACTGCGGGTGTGCGATGACGCGGTGGCCAGCAGCGTGCTTCCGCGGGAACACTTCGGTGATGTGATGGCCCCCCACCCTTGCAGGCGGTGTACTATTCGTCAGTTGTTTGTCCATCCTGCTCGCCTTCTTCGATAACTGCCTCGTCTGGTTCCTCTCATGAAGTCGCCACAGGAAACACAAGTGGAGCACATCAACCACCAGAAAAGCAACACGGCGATGAGCAGCATCAGTGGCAGCCTGCGGTGCAGGTCAGCCATGAATGACACAGGAGAGAGGATAGAGGGGGGGCGAATCTTGTGGAATGTGCACACAGTGACGATGCACGACAGTCCGAAACCCTCCAAGAGTACACCTTGTCGTCCACATAGCGCCCGCCACCTGGACACAAATTCAAAATTAACGACCGTTGGAGACCCCACCGGAACGCCATGGACCCCAAACGAGGCGGCCGGAAATATCGATGTGCCCGCCGCCATCAACCGCCAACGGTAAACAGACGAGGCCGTTGGAGGACGTCCATGATGCTGAAGGCCGACAATGTCCGTCGCCGGGCCCTGGACCATGACTGCACCACCTTCGGCCTCCAACTTTCCTTCTACGCTCGATGCCAACAACCCATGAATCGAGGATCCTCGGGGTTCAAAGGACCTCGCGAGTTCCCTAGGAGCCGAGGACGATTTGCCTGGGAAAGTCTCAGAGCCCGAGGATTTGTCCTCAAAGTGTTTTCACATTTCGTTTCGAAAAGCGGCTCAGGACAGGCGGAACGACAACGAAATCCTTGGAATCACGTCCCCGAGGAGTGTCTAACGACGCCCTTAAATGATAAGGCAGGCAAGTGGCATTCAGGAGGTTTTGGGCTCAATCCCCATTGGCTTCATACATCTTCCTGAGCAAGCTTGGCACCTTCCACCTAGATATAGGCAGTTGGTCCCCCAGAGCGGCTGTGTTGCCACGCGTTTCATGTTTTGTACGCGACGTGGCTAAACGCGTTGAGTGTGTTTGGTGTTGTTTGCACAGGGCGCAGGGGTGTGGGCTAAGGGTCATGTGTGTGTGTGTGTGTGTGTGTGTGTGTGTGTGTGTGTGTGTGTGTGTGTGTNAAAAACTTCCAAAAATAACATATGTTATGGAGAAAAATAAACTAAACAACATTTACCTGGGCACTATATCCACATTCGTTACCAAATTTGAATTAAAAATCAAATACAGAAAATAAACACTATGATAAAAATAAGAAAAAATAAAATGAGAATTAAAATGAGTGAGTGTGCCAGCACCTTTTCGACACCGCCATCTTTGCCGATTTTTAATTATCTTTTGGCATTGACAAATGCCCTGAAAATTTACAGA